GCTTAAAAAACACCTGGGATAATGTGTCATTTTTTTAAATGAGTAATATATAGGAATATAACTAACCCAAGCTTAGAGTACCTAACAAATCTATAACAGACTGGACATTTTCAAAGGGTAAAATAAATCATCTTAAAATAATCCATATTATTAAGAAGATATATCGGTGATTTTCTACTAGCCCCCAAAGTCCTTTTTTCTTTTTTCTTTTTTTTGGGTCCGGTCATGGGGCCTGAACTCTGGGCCTGGGCGCTGTCCCTCAGCTCTTTAGCTCAAGGCTAGCGCTCTATCACTTGAGCCACACAGCGCCACTTCCGGCTTTTTTCTTAAGTGGTGCTGAGGAATCGAACCCAGGGCCTCGAGCATGCAAGGCAAATGCTCTACCACTGAGCCACCTTCCCAGCCCCAAAGTCCTTTTTTCTATCAGTCTCTTTATTGATAGGTTTTGTATACATTTGAAATTACAAACCAGGGTAAATTTCTCTAAGAGAAATTTGTCATCACGACTAAGCATTTATCAATGCTGAGAGATATTATACAGAATATGATGGTTGTTTGATACGTTTTTAAAAGTCAAAAATACATTTTTATAATTAAGGGAGACATTATTTTCCAGAATACTAAAGTTTAAATTGATGATATGGTGTGCATATTTTAGAGTTTCAGCTAAACTAATAGAAAACACAATGAAGAATTGGGCAATAACCCACTTTCTATCATAGAGATGTATGAAAGATGACTTGTATTTGAAGAACAGAAAATATTTTCTTATTTTTCTATGAAGTAGATTTTTTTCTTGTTTTTTTATAGGATCAAGAGATCACATTTGTAGTTATAATCAAAATCTTCAAAATATGAATCAAGGAAATAGGAGAGAATATGAGCTTATACTTGTAGTTTGGAAAAGATATCCATGTTATGATATAGCCAAACTAACATTGGTTAGGATAATGCAAAAGGAATTTGGCTTAGAATATGGAAAACCATGAGTCATTTGCTGTCCCAGTTTTTTCCTCTTCCCATTGAGTGTTATCAAATGATAGTAATACATATGTTACAATCTGATATAAATAAATAAGTAAACAAATACAAACAGTGAAGGTAGGTGAGGTAGGGTGGAGACAAAAAGAAGAAACTAGTTGAAGGCCAAAAATTAGGTTACTTACATATATTGTAGAGCTAATGGCTAGAAGAACATGACTATAGGCCTAAGTATAGAAATCACCCCTGAAGACTTGGGAAAATTCACATCAGAACCAAGAAATTCCAGGTAGTTGTAGGTTTCTCATTCCTAAGGGTAGGCAAAATGAGACTAAAATTTACCATAAATATATTACTTACTTCACAATGGATAAAGCTGGGATTGTGAGTGAATCACGATATTGCTTTATACTGTAACATTACGTTTACAGAGATAAATTTGCCCACAGATTTTGAGGAATAAGCACAATAACTAGGCTGCTCACTCATTAACTTTGAAGAGTATAACAAAATGCCAACCATGAGAGAACTATTGGCTACCATGGCTAGAGCCATGTGCCACTTTTACAATGGAACCAGATCAGAATTTAGAAAATGAAGAGGATTAAGGGAGTCAGATACAAATACTGAAAATTAATTTTTACAGTTAAAGTAGAAAATGAGTTAAGGAGATGAATATAGTGTGATATAGGAAAGAATAAAGAATTCCAACACGGAATAAAATTTAGTAAACAGTGACCCCCCTCCCCCCGCTCCCACCCACCCATCCTCCAACCCCCGGAAACTAATTTCAGTTAAATATAAAGGCCTACTTAGGATATTATTTCTTGTCCATTAAAACTTTTTCTGCAGCAAAATTTTAATTTCAGGTTATTTATGTTACTTAATACTATGCTTCTCAACACCTCTGACCATATCAATGGTTTTGTTTGGAATCATTGTTGAAAAATTAGAATCAGCAAAACATTAAAAGCTATCTTCTGAATTATACCTTGATATTCAGTATTTTGTCCTAATTGCTCTCTCACCTTATTGGTGGGTTTTTATCAATCAGCTACTGAATAAACTGGGTAGAAAATAAAATACTAGACCAAGTATATATGAAATTAGAGCCCAACTTTAGTCTTTTCACCTCAAATGTTTATGAACAAAATTATGACCAATCTGAGCCAGTTTCCTTGCTACTAAAAGTATCTAATAATCACTGGTTTCTGTGATATTGTAGGAATTAGGCAAAGCTAGTAACAATTGCTGATATTTGGCAAATGCTCATAAGGAGTTAAAACTCATAATGATTTTTCTGGCTACATCAAATTGTTCAGAATAAAAGTTTGTTTAAAGTATGTAAGTAGAATTGAGAGGATGTGAAGTGGCAGCAAAGAGTGAAATAGAACAGGTTATCTAGGGAAAGACTAATGAAGAGAAATAAGGATGAGGAGGACAGGGAAAAGAACTGAAAGGAAATAAAGAGGAATTACAAGACATGAAGAAAACTCATGGAAGAAGGAAAAATAGGAAAAAGAAGACAATCACTCATTCTCTTCCCTGAGATGGTGTGCCCCAGTATTACTACACTAGCCAAATCCTCTGAGTTATTTTAGCCTTGCTTTTTAATGAGAATATAAGAGACTCCTTTATCACTTACAAAACCTTATTGATCTGATTCCTTTAATCTTCAATGTCTCTAAAGCAGACTCAATACTTGGGTTACTATACATTCTGTGGCCATTCCTTCCTAGTTAATTCTACTTCCAAACTGAGAGATTTCACAAAGCATTCCAGGTCGACATAGCTGATTCTGATCCCAACTCCATTTGTTAAGTTAAAGTAAACACAAAGTGACTCCTCCCTTTTAGTCATAGGCTTACCTAAGTAGAGCCCAACCCAAAGACCTTACCTTATTTCCTTTTACCTTTGCTTCTTCCTGGAGTTCTCAAAAAAAAAAATCCAACTTCTTTACAAGACATTCCAGTTGGTTTGAAGGTCATGTCCATACAGCTCTGATAAGGGTTTTCAGGATAAACAAGTCAGCACCTGTATTGAGGCAGTATCTGTTTTTGCTATTTGAGGGACTTGCCTTTTGTCTGAGATAATCAAATTAGAAGTAGGTGTGAACTGAGACAGTCTAGAATTATAGAGCAAGAAAGGATAAATAGTAAGAAAAAGGCCAACATATTTTTCTCAGATTGAGATCTTTGGATTTCTCCCTACTTTTATCATTTGTCCAATCTTCCATGGGATTGTGGATATATAATTACTTTCAACTATATTTGGTCAGTTTCTCTCATTTTTCCCCCTTGGTAGTTCATGAAAGCACCTACCTTATGCACTGTTTAAAATAGGAAAAACAAAACCAAATCACCACCACCACCAAAACATAGTCCCTAAACAGGACCAATTCAAACTCCCAGTTGTTATTATTGTTGGTTCAATGGAGAAAGGGAAGAGGAGATAAGAGGAAAAGGAAGGAAGGAAGGTAAGAAGGAAGAAAAGGAAGGAAGGAACGAAGGAAGGAAGGAAGGAAGGAAAGTAGGAAGGAAGGAAAGAAGGAAGGAAGGAAGGAAGGAAGGAAAGAAGGAAGGAAGGAAAGAAGGGAAGAAGGGAGGGAGGAAGGGAAGGAGAGAGAAAGGAGTAAGGAAAAAACTAGGTATTTTGTTGGAATTAGGACCCCTTAATAAAAAGGGTTTTTCTTTCTTATTTTTTTGTTGTTGTTGGTCATCGGGCTTGAACTCTGCTTCAGCTCAAGGCGAGCCCTCTACCACTTGAGCCAAGCGCCACTTCCAGTTTTCTGGTGGTTAACTGGAGATAAGGGTCTCATGAACTTTCCTTCCCGGGATGGCTTTGAACCGTGATCCTCAGATCTTGCCTCTTGAGTAGATAGGATTACAAGCATGAGCCACCGGCACCCCACTAATAACAAGGGTGTTTCTAATAGGCACTACCGTTGCTAAGATGCTAAATGAAATTCCTCTAGCATGTAATTCACATCTCAAGTCTTTTGGATTGAACACAATGATAAACACCAAGTTTTAACAGTTGTTATCAAGAATTCATTATTTCATTTCTGACTATTATTATGGAACTCAGGAGCAAATAGCATCTTTTTCAAGAAAATCTTTTTTGTTTCTTTCTTTACTGGTACCAGAGTTTGAACAACAAGAACTGTTTAAATTGGCATTTGTTCATACCGTTAACTATAATCTCCCTTACTGATTGTGAGGGGAACCTTTATAAACTTAGTACTAGAGAGCAAATTGGTTGGTAAATTCATCCTCTTTTTGCTTTCCTGTTTCCCTCTTTGGATGCCCAAATTTCATTTGAATTTGTAGTAATTTTTATTCTTTGTGACATTTGGAAATTTGAGAATACATCCATAAATTCTGTAAATATGAATTGATGAAAAACTCTTTAATAACAATCTCAAATGTGTACTAGACTTTCAATCAAGTATTTGTAATAGAACATATCTTGCATAGCAAAAATTACTTTCATAATCTGAGAAACGAGCAGTTTGAACTTACATCATGACACAGAATTGAAAACCAAACTTAAACCAATGAAACTCAATCTTTGTGACTTACGTGTTTCCTGATCTGAGTTTTAAGAAATTATTTCTAGTGTGACTATTGACTATTTCTTAGACCACTTGTGTTAACTGATTCACCGTGTACTTTGGAGCAAGCTGGTTTTCTTTTCTCAGGTCTGACATCATTCTTCAATAGAAAGGGGTTCGGCTCTGTCATTGAGTCCTCTTTGATTTATTTTAAAACAAGGGTTATATGAAAATTGTTTGAAAGGCCATCCTTAAAAACTATGGAATACTCCTTTGTCTACCCTGAAAGACTCCATATGATGGAGAATTGTGACTAAGATGAGGCTGTAAGCATCAAATCGCCGGGTAAGAAAAATGTGATACCTACCATGGCCATGATGCTAAGCCTGGTAATATTCAGCTCTCTAGTCTCCTGTGTTTGGAAGATGTGTTTGTGTACAGAATTTTCACCAGAAAGCTTTTTTTTATAGCAAACATTTTCTGTCAGAAGTTTATTTTATTGGTAAAATATTAAATAATATACAGAATTAAAAACTGCACTTACACTTCTGAGAAGAAATAAATCTTGGACAAATTATATGCTTGTTCCTGAGATTCCCTAAATTTATTCCAGTAGCTGTGCACTCAGACAGTACAAACCTTTATAATATAATCCTTTTCACAAAGTATTACAAAGTTTCTGCAGCTTCTTTTAGTTGTACACACATACAGACACACACTCACACATGCATATACAACACTCATACACTTATACACAATACCCACAGACATGCACAGGGCATGTGTGAGTGTGCATTAAAAACAAAGAAGATACAAGTCCCACATTTTAGTCTGCAGTGATAAAACTGTATAGCGGAGGTCTCCAGATCAGTAGACAGCAGTGACTTGTTACACAGCTGCATAGACTGTTGCAGTATTTCCATAGTTCACCCCATTTTCTGAGGTATGCTATTTGAGCCTTAAAAAAATTACATTACACTGAGCAAACCTGACATACAAGGTCTGGTATTTTAATTTTACATATATTTATATATATTTTCTTTTTTAAACAATAGTTTTTTATTTCCCCAAATTATTAGTTTGAAAAAAATGAGGTTTACTGGTTTGACCTTTTTTTTTTTGTTTTCCTTTTTTGCTTCTAAAACACAAAATATCCTAGAAACTGTCAAGCAATTAGTCTTTAAAATAGTCTAATTACCTTTGGTATTGTTAAAGAAAAAAAGAATTAAGTACCCAAGACACATACTGTACAAATGCAGTAAATGCCTTCAAACAAAATGTCAACATTATTTTTATAACAAAACATGTATTTACATTACAGCAGGAACACAGGTATATAAAAAAAGAAAAACCAGAGCACTATATATATATATAAATATGCATGATACGAAAAATACTCCTTAAATTTTGTAAGAAAACAGGGCTGTTCCAAATATTTTTTAAAAATGTGTTACTCCAATAGGTTGATACCAGTTTAAAATTGACCTAAGTGCTTTAATATTAAAGTTTATTTTCAAACATAGAGAAATGAAATAAAATATTAAATATTAGTTTCTTAACTTCAAGCATGAGGCAAGAGTCTAAGGAAAGAAATGCAGTCTCTAAGAATTCCAACTTTAGGACACATTTCTCAGAAAGGATCAGTAGATTCATTCAAAATTTAGCCTAAGTAAAGATTCCATAAAAGCAGAGCAGTAGTTGCTACATGCTCTAATCTTTTGATTGTGGTGTGTTTTTCTCTTTGTGTCTGTGTCCTTTGACACACCATAATTTTCAAGAGTTTCTTTTTGACATTAGCTAAAGAAATAGGTCAAGAAAGTAAAAATAAAATCACTATAGTTTTTAAGACTTCAAGGGGGGTATTGCACTTGTACAGAAAGAAGAGTATCTTTTTAACTAAAGAGCAGAAGTAATCATTCTGGAATTGTAAATAACACATGGTCTAAAAGGTCCAACTATTAAGAGCAATTATGAGGCCTGGATACCCTGGCTGTCCCTGGAATATAGGTATAGTAATGGTAAAGCACTCTTCTCCTAAGAGAGAGAAAGTTAAGACTTTTTGCTTTACATTTTGAATATATTTCTAAAGAACTGTCTAGTCAGTCTGCCATGATTTCTATTTTCAAGAAAAGCCAAGTAAGAATATAAAAATCTAACCCAAAAGAAAACAAAAAAGCAAGTAGATAATCTGGTCACATAATCTCTGAAGTCATTTTAGTTACCTAATATTTGAAAGTTAAATTAACATAAAGTTTATACAGTGTACCATTTTTAATCCAATCACATTTCTTTTAATATAACACTTTACTTAAGTACAAAAATGGGCAGGCAGATTATTCAGCCAACAAAAATAATGAACAAAAAGTAAGACTTAAAGAAACCAATGAATTGGAAGTTAAGAGTTGACCTAATCTTCAAAAGCAGTAGTAGCAGGAGAGCAGCAGACTTCCATAGATATTGGGGGAAAGCAGATAAAAAGATGGGTGAGGAAAAAGTGGAGGGAGTGCACACAGTTGGAAGTAAAAGTAACGAAGAAGAGTTTTTACTTACACAAAAAACGAGGAAGAAAAAGGTTCAAAATCTGAGAGTGCTTGATAGACAAAAACAAACAAACAAAAACAAAAACAAAACCCAAACGTATCAGTTTCAGAACTTGAACCACTAAAAAAATAAGAGTCAAACAACAACAGAAAACAAAGCCTAGATTCCTTTTCTGGTTACAGTATATTGGATTAAAAAAATCAATTTCCAACAAATTAAATTAAGCAAAATCCTGATAAGTGCATAGTAGGGGATTCAGTGGCCTCTACCTGTTCTTAGAAGCATTTCTTACTATGTGTCACTTGAGGTAATACAAGGGCCCAACTTACTGTTAATTGAGTTATCAGTACCTAAATGAAGTTATGTAGGGTACTGTATGTAGCTTAGTAGAGGGCCTCTACATTTTCTATTTTTATTCACAATAAAAATGACATCGTAGAAAATGACATCATTCATGTACCATTCTCTGTATGGGGTAATTCACAATTTCTTTTCCTTTTACAGAAAATGTACAAATGCAATGTTATGGGGGAATAACAACAGCAACAGAATTATGAACTTATTTCTAGGAGGGCATGTGAAAAACATTCACAAACTTACAGTACAGCAAGATCAAACTAAAAAGCTGAACAGAGGACATTACATTAAAAAAGTCTTGTGGAAATTCCAAAATTTTAAGTTACTAGAATAAATGTAAAAATATTCCAGGTGTCATTATTTGGCCTAGCAATACACGATAGGATAAAAAGAAACACTAGCACATCACAGCTTCTTGGTCATAGGACATTTGCTTTATAAAATCAGCTCACTTTTTAAAAAGCTGTCATATTCTAACACAGCCACAGCAGGTAATATACAACCATGGTATGAAACCATTTGAGATTATGCTTTGGAGAATAGCAATGTGATATGACTGCTCAGTTTTATTTTGCTAAAGGAAAATTAATTACTTGTTTTCTTTTCAATGTTATTTTATAAAGCATTCTCACATTAGAAGATAGACTAGAATAACACTAGATTGGGGATAAAAAACTAAAAGCAATACTGCATTTTATTGACACCAAATTTCAGTAATAAAGCCTGTGTGACACAAATCTTATTCGTCCTTAAAGACAAACAAAAGAAATATGAAAACAAAGAGCAATATTGAATTCATAGCTAAAATCTCATTCTACTTTATATTTTTACCTGCATAATCTGGTAATAGTATTTAGAAACAGGATCAAACTAAAAAGGTATTAAAATCTGATTTCAGAGGTTCCTTTTACTTTTAACAGCTAAGGTTATAGTTTCTGTATTGGAAAATGCTTTAGCAGTTTTTTGCCCTAAGAACACAAAGAGGAATTCTATTGTACTCAATTTTAAGTGATTTTTTTTTTTTTTAGAAAATATACAGTAAAAGTGTGGTAAAGCTAAAACAGCTAGCCAACACTCTCAATGCATTTTAAAAGGCACCAATAACATTTTTATAAGTATTTAATACATTAAGTTCAGGACCTTTAAGAGACCAGTTACTGTATATTTTAATTATTTTGCAGAAACTGGAAGATTAAAATATTTATAAAATAATTTTTACATATACAAACTTTAATTTCATCAGGTTTTTTCATTTCTTTTGAACTTGGAGAATTGGATCTGGTGTAATCATACAGGTAGTACTTATTAAAGTAATATATAAAATATAATTAAGAATGACCACAAGTCTTCACATTATATTTCTCTAAAACGAATAATCCAAATTAAAACGAATCTAGGATTTTTACAGGCTAAGTTCTGTCTTGAATCTATGGGCATATATATTTTTATTTGCATTTTTGCAGCTTGTTCTGCTCTATCTCTGAAAATAGGGTAAAATAAGATTTTGAAAATATTAAAAAAGATTTTCCTCTAACTGCATTCTCAAATGGAAGTTTTGGTAAACATTTATACCATGCAAAGACTTTGTGGTTTTGTGAGATGTAAAACTGTAGCACAAACATTATAATAAATAAAAAAAATTTAAAAGCTGCTCTTAAAAATATTTTTGCCTGTCTTTATATCTCAACAAGTAAAAGTTGCTAACTTGAAAGCATTTTTCTTCCTATCCAAAAAGAAATCTACATTTCTTTAAGTTTTTCATTGATGCGTTTCACATCCTTTTCCCCCGTACTGTTTGTTTCATTTTGTCCCAAGGCCTAAGCTACAAAACTGCCATGAGTCCTAAAGACACAATGATAACTTCTTTAGTATTTCTTAATACAATCACTTTGGAAAAGTAAACTTCATTGCTCAGGTACTGAATATAATTTTAACTGAACACATCTAGTAACTCTGCTTCTTTTCATACATTTTAAGAGATGTGTGTGGCACACAGATGCACTCATAACATGATCCACATATATTGATGACTTGCATGCATGTAGGACTGAGACTTCCTAATACAATACTCTGAACTCCAGGCTCTCATCCTTCCATTCTATTCCTCCAAAATATTCCTAAGGGAATGTTTTGACAACTTCTCATCTTTCTTTCAGTCGGTCTCCTGGCCACTATCTCTGTTTTCAAATGCCCTTAGAATGAATGATTCTTCACTACAGAGAAATAAACCACTTCTCCAAAAAGGCTGATGACTAAAAAGTCTGGGCAAAATTAGGGCAAAGCAATAGGATGAATTTCTGAACTTTCGCCAAAGTGGAAAATACAGAGGCTAACCCATTTTCAATGTCCCTCAAATACTTCCTGCAATGTGAAGTCTCACCTAAATAAACTGGGCATGCTAGTGTTATGTAAAATTTGATTTATTTGGTATCTGGTCCTCATATTTATTTTTAGGTGCTACTGAACTGCACATTTTCTTTTGTGTAGAAGAGTCATGAAAATATAGCCATCCAGAGTTTTTAGAAAGCTTGATCTCCACAAAAATTCTTTCTAACCTAAAAATTCGAATTGACCTTGTCCTCACTCGTCCCCACCATTCCTTCAGTCTTCTTCAGCTCTCTTTTGTCCCTCATGTCATACAACTAGGAAAATACACTTGTTGCAGATGTACCTTCACACCTACTAGCGCTCTTCAAGGAATTAAATTTTCAGATAAGATAAAATCAAAAGAGGTGAGTGCATCATTATTGTCTTCACAGTGGAACCACGTAACTTTTAGGTCCATCTGAATTCAGTTTCAACCCAAGGTAGCAGGTACATAAATGTTTTCATTGGGGGAGGGACCCAGGAAAAAGATTCATAGATTATGTAATGTCAGTAAAAATTCATGTGCCTAAAATTGTGGACATATTGACTGGCATGCAAGTATTTCTTTAAAACGTGACAAAACACAAGATCATGAACTTCGATATTTTTTACCTCACCCAAAAAAAGGAAAAAAAGGCATTTCAATTATGATTTGGGGGTGGTTAGGTTAAATAAAGGTAAAAAAAAAATCTCAACGACGTGTTATCTTTGAATAAGTTATATTTACCATATACCTATGGATGTAGGAAGAAAGAAAAAAAAAAGAAATTAATGGTTGGTATTCTTTAGATCTGTTTTGGTACATTCTCATAGATTTAAAGGGACTATTTAAAAAATTCTCCAAAACTAATTGAAGACAGGGTTACTTAAAGAGAGGCAAATCAAAACCATTTTCTAGTCTCAGCTGTGTTAATTCTTAGAATTTGCTTAAACAAGCAAATGGCAAAGGAGAACATGAGTTAAGACATATCTGACCATCCATAGTTCTCTGTTCTTGACACTTCTAATCCCACATTATAGGCAAACCACTTCAGCATCCTATTTAATTGATTTTTAGAGCAATTATTAGTTACTTCATAACAGAAACTAATTATTCACAAATAATACAGCTATGGTTAGGCCTGCTCTTTGCAAACAAAACAAACAGCAGACTCTACCTCCAAACTGTGTTCCCCAAATGACTTGGGCGCCAATGTTACTCTGTTTCTCTGTTAATGCCATTGAACTGAAAAGACAAAACAAAGCACCCACACAAATGAAACTAAAATGTGCACATGAAACATAAAATATGCCACAAATGAATGAAAAGATGGGAAATGCTGTACTACCAGGTTGAGATTCATTTCTGACATGGATTCATAGAGCTGAATATTTTTAAAACAGAAAAAAAGATAACATGCCTGAAGATTCTGTCATATTCTAGGCTCTACAAGGGTAAGAGAAAAGTGAAAAGTTGGTTGTTTCTTTGTTAGATCTGTATAGTCCAATGTATAGTTCCTTTTTCTCTGCAGTAAAAGAAGTAAATATTATTACTGAAGATATACTAGAATAAATAGCCCTACTTCAATAAATCTTATAGGGTTCAAGTTACCATATGCAGGCTAAACTAGCAGTTGCTCTGAGACCATTTTGAAAGAGGCAGCCTATCACAAGACTTTTAAGAACTTCTACTCCAAGAGTAAAAGAGGAATGGAAAATGAACGGAACACTGAGTGGTCACAGTTTGAGAAAATGAGGGAAGAGAAATATCAAAGGATCACTCGGTGGGTTTTCTCTCTATTGTTAGCCTCATTATATTTTTCTGCTGACTGGTTAACACTGATTAAATGCCAATAAAGTGACAAATGTAAGCATAATGTTAGAAGGAAATATGTAAAAGTATCCTGCTATCATGTTAAAACTTCAAACAAAAATCTCACAGAAATTTACGAAAAGTGGAAGTCCCTCCTGAAATTACTGCTTGTCATCCACTCTTAGACCATATGTTATTCTGAAAACTACATAAAAATACTATTTGTTACAGGTGTTAAAAGTAAGGCTGCAAGGTTGTCTATAAAATGCCAGTCATCAAAACTATGGAAAAACAGTGCTTAAGTTTAGAAAAATAAGATCAAAGGACCTCAGATGTCTTGTAGTTGTCCTCAACTACTTGTAGTTTAAAAGTTTTGCTCTATGGTACAGTGTAAAACATACTGAGTTATAAATTCCATAGGGGAAGTAAACATAGAACCCACAACAACTCAACTTGTCCTAGCAGTTATCATTGAAAGTAATAAGGAATTTGTGTTCCATGATTTCTAAAGAACCAGACTGGTTTACATTTCGAAACAAGATCTTCTTTGAAGAGTAAAATTACTTATACCATTTGAAATTGCCAAAGTTCTACCCAGAAAACTTCAAATTTTCCTGCCTTCAATCATAATCCTGAACATCAATGGCAAATTAGAATCACTTAGGTGAATCCATATGAATCAACTATTTTTTTTCCAAAGCATGACATGCCTTAATAACGACTCATGGCAGAACTTGTTTAAATTTCCACAAAATAAAACAAGCCAAGTTATCAGGAAACAATATACCCATCCCATTACTCTTCCATTTTCTTCCTTTTTGTAATTAGGCAGAGCGAATGACACTGTGTCCACAAAATAAGAATTATTGACAGAAATAATATTTTTTAAAAGGTGTGTCAATATCTGAGGGAAGGTGGGATTGTAAGTGCAGTATTTCTTCATGTGCAGTTTTTTACTTCATGGGGGTCCCCTTTGGAATGAAAAGGCCTAGTGGAATGTGTGCTCCCCTCGAACAATGTGTGATGAAAACTCGTAACGGTCCTGGCTTCTGTAGCCACAGATGTTGCATTCCAGTGGGTCCCGGTAGCCATGGCAACCCATGTGAATGGTGTACATGACATGGTCTAGGAAAAGGACTCGGCAGTGCTCACACTTGAAGGCCCTTATCTGTTCTCCTTCTCCATTGAAAACCTTATAGATGTCCTTCAGAGAGCCCTTAGGAGCCTTGGCGGCATCCAAAGCCTTGACATCCTCCTTCATGTAAGCTGGGCTTTGTTTCCTCTTAGGATTTAAGGCAGGGTTTCCTTGGTAGGACTGGTGGTCATCGTGGCTACTTTCTGAGTCAGTAGAATCCAGGCAGCTATTGCTGGGGGAGGCCTCTCTTTCCTGGGGTCGACTCTTTGGTCTAATGAGAGAGATAGGGCCATCCATGTTGTTTTCATGACTATCAGAGGTTTCCCTGCTAATGGGTCTTTCTATCCTATTGGGATGATAGACCTGAGAATAAGCTGAGCTTATGACTGGGGCCACCTCAGCGATTGTGCTTGGCGGGTGCTGCATCAGAGGGTGAAGGGCCTCAGTTCCAAGGTAGGTGATTGCATTGTTGATGGCTTGGTCCATCATATGAGACTGCATCAGCTCAGCCTCCTTCTCATAGGTTAAGTTCATATCAAAGTGAATATCTGGGTAGCTGAATCGCATGAGCTTTTCCCCTAAAAGGAAGAGGTAGGGGAAACAAAAAAGAGTAAGAAAAGGAAAAGACATTACAACAGAAATGGACTGGATTAAAAACTATAAAAAAGGCAAAGTTAACTAGTGACTTCCATTCTCCATATGAATCTCTCAATAAGCCATTTGCACTTGCTCTAATGTCATTATAAGAATGCATCCAAATTATTATTTTCCTTTTCGATTAAAATTCCTACTTTCATGAGACTCATAGACTATAGGAAAAAGAATCAATTCAAAAGGAAGAAATAGCTTGTTGTGGCCTATGTTAACTCACTCGAGTAAGATTTATTTGGTTGATTTAATTGTTATTTTTTTAACGAGTTACAGAATGTTTGTCATTTTGGAGAATTGAAATGTCATTATTATAATACTTATAAATGTTATGTCACCCAATAAAATGAATGCAATTAAGGGCTATTTAAAAGTAAATTAGGGATTAATTCTAAAAGTACTTTCTCATGGACTTAGAAAAATTGTCTATCCCTTTGCTTCTGGAAACAGACAATTATTCCTCTTATTTCATCACTTTCTTATTGACATGTGATTTGGTAGGTGCACACATTGTTAGTTTTTCCATACTTTTTCCTGTTTAAAGCAGTTTAGTTTTTCTTTAAGCATTTACATAAGTAAATATAATTTTTACTCCAGTGGTTTACTTCAACATACTACATGAACATAAAATCTAAAGAATTTCGGTGCTTAAAAAAGAAGTAATTTTTTTTCAGAACATTTCCAGATGTCAGAGTAGCTCATATTTAAAAAATTTTGCCACTAAGACAATATGCTAGTTTCCTACTTTTTTTGATAAGTAGAGTTTATATGTAAGTCCTTCCTAAAAATATATGTAGACTTCTTATTGTGATATGTTTAGTATGTAGTGGGTGGAAGCTTAAAGTGTAATGTTGATAAGAGGTATAGACTCACCAGGAAGAAATAAGAGTGTTTCCTAGTATTTAATTCATACTAGGAAATTAAAGAAAATTTCCTGAAGCAAGTGCCTTTAGGAATAAGAATGTGGCAGGAAACATTAGAAATATGGAGGAAGAAAAAAATTAAAAGAAAGAAAAAAAGAAATATGGAGGAAGAAATATGGAGATAGATTTGCTGGTAGGAAGGCAGAGACAGGAGGGAATTACTTGTAAGTCAGCAATTACTTATATTTCAACATGACTGAGAGTGAACACAGATGAGTAAGATAAATAAAATAATTCTGCATTCATTGAACATCAGTCGACTCTGAGGGGTTATATAGCAGCCTAATTTATTTAACAAACCGACTCAGAAAGTTGCTATAGTAATCACGGTGTCCTGAACTAGTTTAATGTGATACAAATAGAGGAAAATATGGAAAGAAATTTACAAAATACTGCTACAGCTTGAGAGATTAACTATATGAAGATGGTGGGAGAGAAAAGGAAGTATGAAAGTGAGTTTTCTGGCCTAGGAAATTTAATGGATGACAGTGAGATAGAGAAGATACAATCTGTTTGGGGAGCACTAGGAGTAATACTTATGTCTCCAAGGAGAGAGAAATAGATAGATACAGATGTGACAGTTATCAGCTGTCAGAAGACAACTTCTGAGACCTGAGTATACATAATACCACTCAGAAGAAATAGGTCAAATATAGAAAAGAGGATCAAAACAGAACCTGAAACATATTTATGTACCAACCCATAGTCAAATTTCACTTGGATTATTGTATTTGGCAGTATGTTTTGAAAGCTCTTTGTCTTGATCATTCTCCATGGAGAAAGGACTTTGCAGGGCCAGAGAACCTTGCCTCTCTAACTCATTGTCCAGAGCAGGGTAAACAGACACCAGAATTCCTTCACCAATAGACAGTATGTTTCCAGGGTCTGTACAATCCACCCATTCTTCGGTGCTAAGTGTATGGTACTGATGAATATACAAGACACTACTATTTATTTGCTATGTGTGTGGTACGATATAAAAGAAACACAGATATGATGAAGAGAAAAATGTGTACAATTCTTCTGGTAATGGGTAGGACTAGAAGACATTGGGCAGGGGTACTTATGTCCATGCTGTTTATGTCTAGTGTGGGGTATCAAGGAATCTGTGTCTATATATTTTTAAAACTTGACAGAACATACATTTTTCAGCTTAATGTATGTCAGTAAGATATTCAGGCATATGAAAAAGAGGGATATTTCTTTCATTGAAATAAGGGAAAAATCAAATACTTATGTGGATACACATATCTGAGAGAGTTGGTAATATTATACTAAAATGATTCCAAATCATTTTACTCCCTGTGACTGTAGATATATGATTACCAAGAACACAGAGCAGAGGCCATTTGCAGAGAGCATAGAAAGTTTGAAAATGTCTGTGACAAAGGCTTAGATGGTTCATGAATAGATTAAATTAAGGTCACTTTATATCTTCATAGAAAACTTGATATTTAAGATCAATGTTTCATAAGGCTGTGGGATTTCCTCCAAAATCTTAGTGAATGAGATATAAATACAGAAGAGATGCTCACTCAGGGGCATGAGACATTGAGATTTCATCAGGAGAAGGTGGAAAGATACTAAGGCAAAAGTGTCGAAATTATTGGCAAGAGAGTGGCAAAGTGATAAACCATGAAATCTAAAATGCCACAAAAAGGGAGGAAGAGGCAGACAGATATGTACCCAGTCCTGAGATTCTTGGCCTAGAGAGCCTGATAGGACAAAGAACAGTATAAAATGGAAGGCCATGAATAAAAGGATTTATAGTACATATGCAATGATGAAAATGTTCAAGAGCAAAAACAATATTGTAGCTATAGTTTGCTATATAACACTAGGACAGAATCTAAATAAAAAGTCTCAAATTCTTAATAAAAATTTAGTGTTATTATTAGTATAACTTCCTACATATTACAGAAGAGGAGGAAGAAAAAGAAAAATTGTGTGTGTGTGTGTGTGTGTGTGTGTGTGTGTGTGTGTGTGTGTGTGTGTGTGTGTGTGTGTGTGTGTGTGTGTCCATCCTGAAGCTTGAGCTCAGATCCTGCGCAATTTTCCTGAGCTTTTTTGCCCAAGGCTGGCACTCTACCACTTGAGCTATAGCTCTACTTCTGGCTTTTTGGTAGTTAATTGGAGATAACTGTCTCAAGAACTTTCCAGCCTAGGCTGGCTTTAAGCCATGATCCTCGGATTGCAGCCTCCTGAGTAGCTAGGTATAAGCCACTGGTGCATAGATCAAGGGTGAATGATTTTGAGATGTACTGCAACTATATATTTAAACAACAACAACAAATAACTGTAATGAAAGCTGTTAATCAATAAGGTGCTGTGTTGAGGGGAAACAGAAATAGCCCCTGATTGGGGGGGTATTAGCAAGAGGGAGTAGGCTAATGAGGGTGAAGGAGAATGAACATGGTTGAAATAGATTGTTGGCAAGTATGAAAATAGAACAATGAAGCATGTTGAGATTGTATTAGGAAGAAGAGAGGAGGGTAAAGGAGAGTGAGAGGTGGGAGACTGACAGGAATACATTGTACGCACGTGTGGAAATGTCAAAATGAAATCCCTCCTTGTATCGTTAATGAATGCTAATAAAGAAGAAAAAAGAGTCATACTATAATTTTGTAAAACTCTGATCCTCTTTTGTAAGTAATGTAATTAAGTCAAATTGAGAGTGGCAAGCCTAAGTCATAGAAAATGTGACAAAAACTGTTACAAAGAACAGACTATAAAAATTTGCAATATAAAGTGCAATAATAATTTTCCTGTTTTTCCAACTGTACTACTATCTAGTTAGATATAATTATCTAATTATTTTCATAAACTAATCAATTTTAAAAAAATGATCTGTGTTCTCCCTACCTTAAAAAAAAACCATTAAAGGCAAGCCTTTTGGTAAAATCTCAGATCCTGAACTGCTGTAATTAAACTCTGACCTGTGGGATTACATGTTAGCCTTCTTCTATGAGTGCTCACTAAATTCCCAGCTAGTTTTTTTAGAGTCGTGGGAATTGAACTCAAGAGCCTGGGTGCTGCTTCTATGCTTTATTGCTCAGGTCTAGCACTCTACTTTGAGCCATAGCACCCATACCAGTTTTCTGGGCATTAATTGGAGATAAGAGTCTTACAAAATTTCCTGCTCAGGCTAGCTTTGAACCATGGTACTCAGATGTCAGAGTTGAGTCATGAGTGCCTGGCCTGCCAGCTGGTCTTTATGTGATATTTTGGTTTGTTTAGTTCTTCACTCAATATGTTTATTGGACTAACAGATTTTTATTACTCTTTCCTTCTTGAAATAACCAAAGAAAAGCTTTTCTCCAATCTCTAATCAGGATGTCTTACAATGCTCTCTAACATTAGAATCTGAGAATTCATTTCACTATTTTATTTCCATATTTTATCCTCCATAAAGTCTGCAAAACAACCATAATACATACAAAAATGATATTAAACAATTTTCTTCTACTAAATCTTAAATATTCTATAAAAACAGAGATACTTTTTTCATTCTTAGACAAACTCTGACTTGCCAACAAGGAGAGTTTCAAAAATCATCTCATGGCTTGGAAATAAAACACTGTGTAAAATTTAATATACATATATAATATTTAATATTAATCTTTTCAAAATCATAGGCTGGGACAAAAAGGGACTGAAGTGTAAAATACAGATAGACCCACAAAGCATCTTGAATGTAAGTTATCACATTATTTTCTAATGCAGAATTTTGAAAAAATTAGTTTCTATGTATTTTAGATGAAATGCTTAAAGAATTTATATTCTGTAAAGAAATCAGTAAAAACCCTGCTACTAATATAAATTTAACACAAATTACAAAAGTGGCCAATAGTCTAAGGCTTTCTTATTTTGTGTGATTATTTTAAAATAACATTTTATTTCTATATGTGTTTAACTCCATGTAGCATTATATTTTTGAGATGGTGATCTACTTCTATCAGTCTTTTGATTATTTCTTTTTCTCATGCTCATGCGTAAGGGGGTGTGTGTGTGTGTGTGTGTGTGTGTGTGTGTGTGTGTGTGATGCACATAGGAGGTAACAGAGTAGAAAAGAATAATGTGGAAAATAGGAATGTCATTCATGATATGAAACACCATATGCATTTCTAATATATGGATTAGCCTTTTCAAATTAAAATCATCTGATAAAAAAATGAAAACATTTGTGCTGCTTACCCACAAACTTTTGTGGAGTGGAGCTTTTACGTTTTCCCATATTTCCCGCAAGTTTCTCTATGACAGCAGGTCTCTCAAAAGGCACCAGAGAAATATTGTTGTCCATAATAGGCTCTTGTTCCTTACAATCTTCCATAGGAGGTACTATATGAAACCATATAAAAAGGAATCTGATAATTTCTTCCACATTTGGAAAGATACACAGATGACATCTCAATATGTGTTAAAGAAAACACACTCATACACTTTAATAAAAGCAGGTAAGACAAACCTCTGTCAAAGAAAATTTAATTCTATTCCTGTCTCTCTCTCTCTCTTTCTCTCTCTCTCATACACACACACACACACACACACACACACACACACACACACACACACACACACACACACAAGCATGCATGTAGGTGATTTGTTTCTAAGTCTGTTTCTTTCAGATCAATGACATAAACTGTTGCAACTATTGGTGGCCAACATGTTCATTTGCTTTCTCATCTTATTTCTCTGAAAGTGTTTTTAACATTGATTAAAATCAATAGCACTTTAAGACTACTCTATTTTAAGGCTTTGGGAGTTTATTTTTCTCAGACAATGTAAGCAATTCAACTTGTTTTGGAGAAAAGCTTAGCTACACACTCAGAATAACAGTACAATATTTGACCACTTTCTCCATCTGTTTTCATGCTGCACATTTTCTATCTGATGAGCTGCTAGCCATATTGGCAGTAGCTTAAATACCTGCACAACACAGGCTTCATGAAGGAGATCCAATTCTGAACATGTCTATGCATAGTAAATTGTGACAGCCTTATGATTATAATTTATTTTCAAAAGAGTTCTCTAGTAGGATAAAAAAATCTATTTCTAAATTGGTACGTGGTCACTCAAAACTGCTAACCTTAATTCACCTGACATAAGCTCTCTAACTCATTCTATTCATCTAAGTTGCTGTGGGTTAATATTGGTCCTGAGATACTGACATTCATGTTGTAGAATAAATTCAAGAAACTTACAGAAAGTGTTTATGAGTTGGAATTTTGTCCAACGAAGTTAAATTTAGCATAGGGCAACTTCTCAGACAGATTGTATCAGTTGATTAAAACTATTATTCATAATAAATACCTGAAATTTCCATTTACTAGGTACTCTAATTTGAAGGTATGCAAGTAAAATGATTTACTTGGATCCTTTTTGTTTGTACAACAAAGTCCCCTGGTGCGGAACATAATCCATTCTCATTTATAAGGAGGCCCTACTGGCTGACAATAAAATCAGAAAGCAAAGATGAAAGTGAACAAAACTCAGCGCACAATTCAAGTGACCTATTTAATAACCAATACAGGGTGCTGACATGGAAGGAAAAAACCAGTATCAAAATGTTTTCCTAATTTAGACATCTTTAAAGAAATCGGCATCCACTCTATGATTTGGTTAGCCTAGTTGCTGGTCCAGAAAAAGTTAATCATTAACCTACATTTTAATAAGAGATTCTCTGATTCCAAATAGCAAGGAATTCTGCAACAATTGCATGTTGACTTGGACAAATAAATTTCAAGATGAGATTTAGTAATAAGGAAGTGTTTATTACACTGATGTTATTAATATGATCAAGTGGGAAACATATCCAAAAACACTACATAAAGTATTATATAATATAAAAATGGCCAAACAAATCAAATATCATGGCTGATCATAGAATTCAGACAAAAATATATGGAGGAAAAGTGGTGATAATAATTTCCTAGCAAAGCAGGTTATGAGATGGAGATTATGGTCAATATCTTAACTTTTTCTTTGGTAAGATTCATAGGCACACATCTCATTAGTGCAATAACCACAAAGTAGTTTATGCATGAAGCAAAGTTGAAAATATCACAAACCTAAATCTAAAATGAAAAAAATTAGAAAGAAAAAAAATTGCTGTTAATTTTTGCTAAAAACCAGCAAAACTGGTTAACAGGGTTTCCCCCCAATATTGAATGTTAATTAGTTTTGAAATGAGTAACCTAAAACTTGGCAGTTCTGCTGTAAGTCTCACCCTGAATTTTCTTATTTGCACACACTTAACACTCAAAACGAAACCTGCATGTGGGAACCGTTCCACACCACATCCACCTCAATTCAGATGATCTGTCCCAAGTTCAATGAGGCTCATATACACTGAAAACAATGATTCTGGCAAGCTTTGGTCTAAATTCTATTTTGCAACTGCCCTCTGTGTCAAAAGTCAATCTTGTTTTTAACCATGTTGGCAATAATAACCACTAAGTGCTTTTTTGAGGCTTTACATTTAATAGCCTATGCAATCCTCATGATATAGATGCTATTACATCTTTATGTTTACAGATGGGAAAACAAAGACTTGGAAATTTTAATAACATTTCTCAGTGTTTATGTCTACTTAGTAGAGAATGTTACAACAATTCAGAGCCAGAGCTACACTATACTATTATAGATATCAATGATATTATAGATATGTTTTGAGTATTTGCATGTTTTACACCGGGTTGATATATGTGTAAGGAATGTCATGGATAAAAGACAAAACACACTTTTCCTAAAGATCTAATATTTATTTTTTTGCTCTCCTGAACCAGGGAATAGCTCAACAAAATGTTTTTGGATATATCCTCCAAACACAAAAAGGTTCTCTAGATACTTCATATCTCAATTGCATTAACAATAAGAAAATCATCAAGGCTACAGGTAAACCAATGTGCTGATATCTTCATTTGTTTGGAGAAAGCACTAAAACCAACCATCTCTTTTCTGACATTATCTGAAGTTGTAACTAGAACAAAAATGTATTTATTCTTGTATTATGCCATTATTTCATTATATCAGTAAAGATAAAGGTAAAACCAAAAGGGCAACATTAGGCTGAGTATGATGGTATATACCTATAACCCCAGAACTCAGGAATTTGAGGCAGGAGAATCTCGAGTTCAAGATCAACCTACTATATATAACAAAACTCTTACTTAAAAAACAACAACAAATCAATAAGATGACATAGCTTTATTTATTGTTAGCCAAACCATCCACTCAAAATTCAAATTCCAAGAATAAATAAACTGAAGAATCAAGATCCTGTCACATGTTTTTACCCTAATCCCCTTGACCCTGAACAGGAGAGGTCAGGTTAACTGACAGTTCCAAAGAATTGCATACGATGGAGAAAGTTCTCGTAAAGGAAAAGGCAAATCTTGTTAAAAAAAGACATGGGAGAAGGAAGAGAAAGACAGATAATCTTTCCTATCATTGAAACTTTTCTTTCTATGCTGTTGAATCTTAAATCTTTCAAGTTATATGTTATTTTCTGGACAGGCTACGATGTTGCAATACTGGCGCCAGCTTCTATGAAGTAAGTTTCTATACTCCTGGTCCTGCCCTTCTCATCTTCATAGCTTCTTTCCCCCCATATTGCCTTATGCTACAGTTTGGATATGAAATGTTCTCTCGACCAATCATGTGCTAGGAGCATGGTCCTTAGTGCAACAGTAATGGAACATGCCAGGACCTTCAAAAGATGAGACCTAGTGTAGTAAGGTCACTGGGGACATAGTTGCCAAGGGATTTGGGCTGGTGTCTCAAAAATAGGTCTCCTAGGAGTAGATTAGTTTGTAGAAAGCCCACTATTGTAGAAGAGGAAGACTAGGCCTTCCATGCTTGCTTCCTGTTATAAAGTACCTCGTCTTTGGTATTTGTTACAGTAACAGAATGATGTCTATGAAGTTTTCACTTTTTTCTTTTCTTTTTCTTTTAACTGAGATCTCTTTCAATATCAAAGTCCAAGACAATTTTACTTGGCGCTTATCGGTACCTAAAAGATATGTTCAAAAACTGAAATCTTCCTTTTCCTCACACAGGCTTTCTCTAATTGCCACCCCCAATGAATGGCTCTATCATTTACTGTATCACCTACCCCATCATCCATGCTAGATATTGGCAGATACTAGATTTCTTTATCTTGACTTTTCTACTCCCTACCACATGAAAAAATGTGGAGGTACAAAGTATTTTAGACTCTACATCTGTAGTTGCTCTCAATTCCCTAATGTTTCTATTCAAGGCTACCCAGCCCATCTTGACCCCTGCAATAATCTCCTAACAAGTCCAATTGTTTCTTGACTCTTCTAACCTTTCTTTTATATTCCAGTAAAATGTTAATATAATTATGTGTTTTAAAGTACAAAAATTATTTGCCTAACTATATAGCAGGCAGTTGATGTTCTGTCTAGAACTTTTCCTCTAATCCTCTCACCTTCTTGCTCCAGTTGTACATAGCTACAAGGTCCTTAACCTTCCAGGCTCTTTGAGACTACTACTTCTTGGCATATGCTGTTATTTCTAAATGAAACATTGACTTATTAGCTTGTCAGTTTAACCTTTCCAAATTCAGTTCTAATATAACTTTTCTTGAAGTTTTCTTTGAACACCCAGTCTGATTTAGGTATCTGTTCCTTACCTCTACCCAGTGTACTTAACAGAAGATACTCCAATAATTGTTGGTTTACTGTTCGATTTCTTTCACTAGAAATTGCATTTTATTTAACTGTGCCTCTCCTGCTTATTAGATGAGAAGTATTACATTCAGTGGGTGGTTATTATATGACTTAATCAAGGAAATAATGTCACTGATGAAAATGAATGAAAAAAGCAAACATAAAATTTTGCAGATTCCCAATTATATCACCTCCTTGCTTGCACATAAAGAACCCTCTCTCCTGAAATAATTGAAAGTAAACCTAAGAATATATAGCTTTAAAGTTGTTATCTTCCTGGTTACACAATTTCAATTTTGAGTTCAGGCTTTAAGGGAAAAGGTAATTATACAGTTTGCTTTTTAAAGCTTGTTTCTCAAGCTGAACAGACTTGAAAAATGAGCATAAAGATAACATTCAAATAAGATAAATAATCTGCCATAAAACCCAATTTATTGTTATCTTTATCTCCAACACCAGAAGTCATAAAACTGGTCCCTTTGCTCAAACTCAGTCAACATTTATAACAACTTTTTCCTCTACATGCGAATAGCTGTTCAGTGTCCACTGTTCTCTCATCCTACCCACCCTTTCATCCTTTCTTTTACATTATCACTTGCTGTCTCTCTTCACTCAAACCCCTTGCTCCTGGCAGATGTCAACTCTATATTCTATGGTGGTCATATTTTCCTTTAGAAGATACACAATTGATTATCAATTGGCTCCTATTGAACCAACTGCAAAATCCAATCACTGGATTAAAAGAACTACGTACTCTTTTAGCCTTATTTCATATCACTCCTTTAACTTGATATATATATATATATATATATATATATATATATATATATATATATACACACACACACATATAGAGAGAGAGAGAGATAAATAAATCTGTCAATGAACCTTTATTAGTCCATGTCTCTTCTCTGCATGGAATATATATGCTGTATCCCATCAGATACATGCAATTTTCTTTCACCCTCATGCTCAGATCAAACACTGAGAAATGGAAGACATTTTCTTTGACTTTTCCACTAGGTTATCCCAATCCTTAGATTAATGGAGAACTATAGACACATCTTTATTACAGTTTTTGCATCAGTTCATTTTCCTATGTTTATAATGAATGCATTTCCTAGCAGAATATAGGTGTATAAATGAAATTATGTTCATTTATCTTTGTATCCCCAGAATGTTCATTAGACACTAGATGTAATCTCAACAACTGGGAGTGTGAGGCAGGAGGATTGAAAGTTCAAGGCTAACTTGCTACACAATGAGTTAGACGCTGGCCTGTTAGTTAATAACAGTAATATAAAGATACATGGAATCAATTACAAAAATGGAACTAAATCAGATTATTTTATATTATAGAAGCTATTATTAACATAAAAATATGCTTATTTAGAATAACAGATATTTTGAATTTAAAATTCACAACCCACTAACATATCAACACTATCTAGTAAGCAGTTTCATACTTCATACTATATTAAAATAATCACAGTTACACAAATCATCCTTGGAACTATGTCTACATTTTCAAAGTGTACAGAAAACTATATCATTTGGCACTGGCCATTTAACTTTTAAAGTAAAAGATATAAATATATCAATAATTTAAGACTTTTGTGTATATTTATATGAATAAAATAAATCAGTATACAAACACAATTAGAAAAAGACAGACACAACAAATGTAAAGGACTGAAATCTATTACTTTCCTTTGTAAGTCCAATCTACAAAAATTAACATTTTAGGAATTAAGAACTATTAATTCAAATTCAAGAGACTACCTAAGTAGGGATTACCATCCTAACTGTGTCATGAGTTGTGAGAACCAGGATCGTTTGTTTAGAGAATGATTTTTTTAATGGAGGAAGATGGTATCTACTTTAGATCTCTTACACATGAGAAAGCAAAATTATTTCCCAGACAAATTATAATACAGTCTGGAAGAATTTCAAATTATATCACAGATCATTTACCTAACAGAAAATAAATACTGGACACAATTAATTCACTCTTTTAGGAAACATGCAGACATCTATGATAAGCTATCATATCCCAACTAACATTGGGATATAGAAATGCAAGAGAAAAGTAAGCATATCCAAATACATGGGACCATTATTACACTAATTCAAACACTTTATCAGAAATAATTTGGGAGGAAGACTACTCAAGATAGCTTGTAATATATTCCAAAGCTTAGCTCATTTCAAGTATCTGAGACGATAATCCCATACAATGTTAATATGGTCTCAACTTGTTTAAAGCAGAGCAAGATTTTATCATCATGCTCACTGGTGGAGGGAACTACTTAACCCATAAGAAAAGATAAAAGCAGTATAGTCAGGAAGGAAAAATCACAAATGTCTTTCTACCCACCATGGTGACTCATGACCTGCCCGGCAGCCTCCATGCTGACATTCTGGAGATAGTTGTGGCAGCGTTCCTTGTGCTCCTCCAGTGAACTGCGCTGCTTGTAGCTTCGTCCACAGTAGTTGCACTTGTGAGGTTTACCCACTGTAAGGAGAGCTCAGGGTTAGTGTCTTGTCCACAGCCACATCCAAAGAGATTTGTGAATTAGCTTTTGGTAGGATGGAGGAAGGACTTACATGCTATTTAGATTTAGGTCCCTTCCTCCTCCACAGTCTAATTTGGATGAGAAAAGAGAATAAATTTCTACTAAGAGGAAAATACAGTGAGAACATAGGCAGATTGTACTTCTAGTTTCAGGGGAAATACTGAATCAAACTTGTGCTCTGACTATATTCCTGATCATGATAGCGTGATGATCAATTCTCAAGTTATCTGACTCTTTACACATTTTCCCTTTTAGGTATGTTCGCCTTGACTCACTCAAAAGATACCTCGGGGGTATCCTACACACATGATGAATTGTTTTTATGGAGGAGTACATATGTTTTGGGGAAAATGGGAACTTTTTCTGAAGAAAAATAAAAATGCAACCATCTGAAATGTATTGCTTAAATAAAATAAGATTATTTATGTGTAGCAAGAAGGTTAGAAAAAAATTCATGTGGTGAGAAAAACTACAGATGATATGGTGAGAAAAACTACAGATGAAAGTTGAGTGTTTCTCTTCTTTTTCTACGGTGGTGATACCTGTTCACATATGCAAAGCTTTTCAGTAAATGAAGTATATTCTCCTCATCGGAACTCTTTGTATAATACTAAGAATAAACCTACTAGGTACTTCAAGTCAGAATTCTTAACAATAACCACTAAAACTTTAATATATTTAGTTATGACAGTGATTTTTTTCAAAATACTTCTCATTCAGAAAATGAATTTTTCCTTAGTAGCCAAGGAGCCATTATCTCAGTACATCTATTAAAATATACACTGTGATGCTTATGTAGACAACTTTGAAAACAAATCATTGACAAGATAAAAAGGCACCTTTGTAAAAAAAAAAAAAGGCATGTTTCAATATAGCACTTCAATTCTTGGTGGTAAATTGATATAAAACAACAAAAAGTATCAAGAATATATATGCTGATGCCCCAAGATATAAAGGACAGTGTGTGAAAAGAGTTGGTGTTTTTCATTTGACTCCCATAGGAATAATTTAGCTTTGAACAGAGAATAGACTTTTTTTTCATGACTAAAGATAGCATCCTAAACTCCAGCCCCTTAACATATATATGTGATAATACACACACACACACACACACACACACACACACACACACACACACAAATACATATATAACACAGCGAAGAGAAACTAGAATACCATAACAAGAAGTGAAGTACTCAAGATTGCCTAAGATTCACTGTAATCACTCAGAAAACTGCTAAACACACAAAAAAGGCCAAACCAATCCTTATATTATATTTGAAGTATACCCAACTTAAAGTCAACTATTTTATAACCATACTTTATACATCATCTTTAAAAAATAGCTATCTAAAGCATGATCTATCATTTAAAAATAAGCAGAGTACTATATTTTGGAACCAAGTATTTTTAGGCAGTATCTATGAATACTGTGCACTATTTATACCACTTACATTAAAAAATGTTAGAAGCATTTTCAGTTGAAACAGTGCATATAGTATAAATATATTTACATGTAATGACACTGAGAGACATGGATAATTATACTGTGAGACATGGGAACTTCATAACAAAAAGCCCTTGTTGCTTTTAGCATTATTTTTTAAAATAATTTATACTAAATAAATCCACATGACCATGTCAGTCTACAGACTAAGTCTACTAATTAATACTTAGTAAGCACTCACAAGGACTTTAATCCACTATAAAGTCCTAGCTCACCTTATAAGAGAAAATTTTTTTTTACTGCTATCTACTAACTTTTAACTATTCTTATTTTGAAGCCTATCTTATCTGTGTCACTTGAGCCTCTCCTATCTAGTCAGATTTATTTTAAAACACCTTTCCACTTTACATTATCCTGTTGTTAGTGAGTTTATTGGGAATCTGAGTAGTTGTTTAAAAAGCATATCTTCAGTTTTCCCTCTTCTTCATCTCTACTCATATCAATCAAACAAGGCTTCCATATTGGATTTTGACATGTCTTAAGAGCATTCAATCTCTAAGAAATTTGCTCTTGAAATGCTCTATCCTATCCTTCTAGCTTTCTCATTTATTCACTAGCGTGGCTAGAAATGGTGAGACCCACTTTTGATTCCAGCATGAGGGAGGCTGTGACAGCATGATCATAAGTTCTAGCCCAGTCTAGGAGTTCCAGGCCAACCTGGACCACACAATAAGACCCTGTCTCAAAGCAAACAAACAAAACAATAGCAAACCCTTCTCCCCAACCTCAAACAAAGAAAACAAAAAACCCAGAAGACTGCTATGTACCAACATAGTGAGATTATGGTGTAGCTAAAACTCATAAAGCAGAGGACATGTTCTCATTGTGTTTATCCTTCTCCAAGCGAGTCTTATAGGAATACAGATGGTAAATATACAAGCAATGTGCCATAGATTATGGGAGGTTCTACTGGGCAAACAAATGGTGTGTTAATATAGCTTGGGAAATCTACTTTAATTTTGAGTGGATGGACAGGAAGGTTGGTCTAAGATAGCACCACTTAGGGTAATACATGAAGAAAATGTGGCAGTCTGAGGATTATAGTGAGAAGGAAAGAGGCAGAATTTAATGATTTTATGAGAACTGATGTAATTTCTTTTTTCTCAAAGTTGTTTTCAAGCATCAGTAACAATTCTTGCTAAATTCATGAATGATTCAACTGTCCCTGTAAGAACATTTCCTATTAGTTCTTTGATGTCATTTTTTTAAACTTAAGTTTAGGAAATATTGTTTCTATTTCTTTTATCTTGAATCTCTTGCTGTAGTTCCTGGGATCAGATTCTGTATTCACCGTCACTGGCTTTATTTCTCAAATCTCCTCCCATAGCAACAAATATCTACATGCTGCCAGTCTTTGCTTTGACTTCATTTCTATGAACCAGCCAAGGTGCCTGGAATACTTACTTATTTGAAGTTTTTACTGGACATTTAAACCTTCATTCTTATACTTCCTTCCAAGTAATCCAAACATTCTTCTCTGTTCGTACAACACTCTGTTTATGCTCTATTGATCCATGAATATGACAAATGCATTGTATTTATCAATCTGATACCTATTTCCTTAGCAGAAAGAGCTCTGTAAGGACAGAGATCATGCTTTACTCAATTTTAAACTGATAATGTTCATGGTAGTTATTAAATATTGGAGACCCTCAATATTCATTTTCTGAATATCTAAATTTCTAAGCCATATTCCCAACTTACAGATACTCCCATTAAAAAAAATAAACACCTCAGATATCCAAATCCATTTCATTTCACAAAACTCCAACCTTGTTCTGATTGCCCTTGTATGCTAGTGAATTACTATTCGAATAATTCAGGAGGTGCAGCAATTCTTGTCATCTATTTCTCTTCATGCTTCTAAATAATATTTAGAGCCTATGTATGTTTTCACTGCTTCTCAAGTTTGATGCTGCCTTCCATCTCCTATATCAATATCCTAGTTCAAGCCTTTATTACAACTAACCTGAGCAAGTATAATAGATTTCAAGTGAGGTTTTTCTTACTGGGTATAATTATTTCACAGCCTCTTGAAAAGAAACCTTCAATGACTGCTAACTTGTACTGCATACATCTTTTCACCTGGCTTTCAGTACCCCTCACAATTCAATCCAATCTCAAAGCATATTCTTATCTTCTACCACAGACTTGAGATTTGTTTTCCCCAAGAATGACTTCCATAATTTCTGCCTCTTAAAATCTTCTGCATCCTCTACTTCCAACTTCCTCAATACCCTTCCATCTACAAGTGCTTTTTTCTCATCAGAGAAGTGTAATTGTGTTGGCCTTCATGTTTAGGAACCCTAACATCCTGCTTTGTGTTCTTTTAGGCTTCTATTCATGGTATTTATAAAGTCACTTAGATCTGATGTGTTAGAAGTTATCTTCTTGAGAAATTAGAACAACAACTTGTATATCTTCGTAAACTCAAAAGAGATTTATCATGGTACCTTGTTTAATTGAAAAATAATAAATGGCATGAATTGCATCATTTTCTAACTCATTAAATAGTCGTCTGACTCTTTAAATAGGTTTTTTTAAAGCTCAGTTTTTCTTATATCATTTCTAATTCCAGTACATTCATATAAAACTGTAAAAATATTCATCAAAAATTCATAATTATACCATTTAGAAATAAATTCTTTGGTATTTCTGTCTCATCCTCTTACATTTTTTCCTATGTGCATAAATACAAATTTTGTTATAACTAATTATTTTATATACTGTATTTTATAATCTGTTTATTTTACTGAGCAATATATCTTGACTATTTCTCTGTCATGAAATGGTACTTTTGTTCTGGCTATTACATACTAATATGTCTGTCAGGTTCTAAAATTATGGTAGCATGAAACCATTTAGTTAGCTCCATGCTTTTATTTTTTATCAACATCCAAGGACTATTTTAATTATGACAAACACTATCTATGTTCCATATCTAAAGGAAAAACAGTGCAATGCTTTCAATGATTCTAGTACCCCAATAATATCATGGGGTTGGAGGTCGGTGGTATAGGTTGAATTCAAGTACTAATGATTGTATCAAAGCCGTAAATTTATTTTATCATTTTCTTTTAATTTGGTGATCATTTCTCTCTTTCTTTTTTTTAAACTGCAGTTACATATGCCCTTACTTAAAAGCTACTAACAGGCATAATGCTAACAGGCATTTAATGTGTAGTCTAGTCCGTATCTGGTCCCCAACATTTTAATTATAATCTATATAAACAGCCATTTTCACAACTTGTTCCTTTAGTGATTATATCTATGTTTCTAAATAGTATACAATCTTTTCTTCATTCATGAGGCTTAGAGATTATATTGACTGTCTCTAAGGATTTTGTGCTCATAAATATCTTCAACCCTTCTTTCAACAATTATTAGAAAATTCTAATTAATTGGATAAATGAAACTCTGCATTATAAATAT